AGTTTAATGGTGATGGTAGTTTAGTATAGAGCGGTAGACACGTAAGTTATGGACTAAAATACTCATTTCTTTTAAGGAGTAGTACCAGAGTTTAGAAATTCGCGAATTTAGAAAATGTACGAAAAAGTGAATCTCAAAAATTTAAGAAATTTGCTGAAATAAAATTGTAATGCGTGAAATGTACAGAACACGTAAGAGTACTCTAGAATATGAAGGTAATATTTCTCAAGACTATATTGGATGCCTAAGATGGTCATGTTAAATTGTAATGAGTTAACTTTCTAGCAGTGATTGAGACGAAATGCTCCCATATGCATCAAGTTCTACCTTCCGAATCCACCACTGGCGGCTGTCCGACGCCGCAAGGTTGCAGAGGTAGTTTGGTTGTGGATTTTCCTGGAGACGGCAGCGGCCCAGTCGCTCGGAGATTCGCTGCGCCCTCGTTGCATCGCGTGGGTGTACACGATTCTGAAAACTGCAGCCCGAGTAGACGGGAAGAACGAAAACGCTGAGTGACAATCTTAGTGTTTTGTGTTGCATCACGTCTCATTCAATCTTGCAAAAGAAAAATGGATCGTTTAGAAGTGAGAGCTGAAGGTCAGTACACAATCTCAATGAAAGATTTAGGACTCCTGTGTTAGTTAAAATTCAAATTCGAAATTGTATAAAAGAAATGCATGCTAAGTTTTCAGATTACCATTGAATATATTTTTAAATCATTCACTCTTTTCAAAATTATAAAATTTGACAGTTTTGATTTTAGATTAGGTTTGTTATCTGATGTCTTGCGACAAATTTCGATGCTCCAGACTAGTTGAACATGTTAACTACGGGAAGTTTGGTTGCTACTGTATCAATATTATTTTATGAGTAAAGGTCAGTACTCTAAAATTCTGTATCAACGAAAATACCTAATACGAGAGTATTTGAAATATGACTTTTTTAAATAAAAATTTCCTATATTTATCCTTCACATGAACGAAGTTTTAAGCCATAAAAATACAGTTTCAATAAATGATACCCTCGGATAATCAATGATCGTTTTAAATACTTTATAATACTGTAAGTAAATACGATAAGGAAAGATGGTACTTTTTGGCAGTTTATCAGATACGGATACAAATCCCTTAGTATGCGCTACTGGTGAATAAAAAAATTATTCCCCCAATTCTACATCGAACTAGTTTCAGAAAAAAAAATTGCCGATTTATGACCTACAAAACATTGTTGCAACTCGCATTATGATCGCGCATGTATAACTCGGGAGCGTTGCGTCTAAGTCTTTTAAACAAAATATGCATGCCCCGTAGGTGCAACACGTTTTTTAGGACAGATAAATTAACTGGTGTTTGGTGAGACACTAAGGTAAGATGAAATGGATAGTTAGGGTGTGCGTGAAGTATAGGGAAAATTAATTAAATTAAAGGAAAATACAGAAATTCTTTCACGGTAAAATTAGAGGGCTACTTTATTTCCTGTTCATTTTAAACTCGACGATCAGCAATATTTTACTACTTTCTCTCCTAGTACAGGGCCTAGAATGCACTTACATCTGGGATGGGTGTATGTTCTATTTCACTTTGTATTAAACTTTGTTTAGCCGTATATTTGTTAGCTTGGACTTCCCAACTGATTTCGGGCCAATGGAACAGACGGAATCAAACAAGAACTTCGTACACGTAAGATTCCGCGGCTCAAATTACATTCTTAGCTGTCCGGGTGACGCCACATCGTTGGCAGGCTGGCAGGCTGGCAGGCAATCGCTCGCAAACATTAGGAAATCAGGGAAATTTTAACAAAACTCGAGACAATCTCAAGAGCTACGGGTAGTGCATCGCGCTCCGCCTAAGAAAAGTTAGGGTGCGCACAGCAGACTGCTTGACGAATGGTCACACTTCATTCAACTGCTCTAGACATTGATTTTAAATTTCTTACGTATAGACCGCAACTAATGTAATTGCAAATAGGAAAACTTCTCGCTGAAAAACTATGTAAATTAGAAGTTTCCTTTCACATTAGCCATGTTAGGCTTACTTTCGCAAAAACTATTAGCAGCTTTTCTCATTTCATATTTTTGCAATGTCCTGACATACTTGTGCAGAATTAAATCTGCATTCCAGTTTTTGATTCAGAAAACAATAAAATATTTCTTTACATTCATAAAGAACGGCTCGGCTTGATCGCATAATTAAAATTTGATACCGCTGTGCGCGCCATGTCGCTTCGGTCTCGCTGAGACACTTCTCTCCCGTCAGTTTGGAATGGCGAGTCGTAAGAGGCCATATTAATCCAAAGGAATATCCTGCAGAACAAGAATTCATTCGGTTTAGCGTAAGTTCTCAGTCGGCGAATGAACACGTTAAAACAATTGTGGTCAACAGGACCGATGTTGGTTTATTAAAATTGGCGTTGTGCGCGACAGAAATGCTTAAATGCACTTACGAACTGCGGGATGTCTAGCTATCAGAGTTCCTCCACCTTGATGCAACTGTTTAGGAAAACCCCCAATTTCAGATGTTATACCCGATGGTTATATGCGCTGATTGATTTTCTTTTTTGACTTGGGATCACATACTGCCAGTTCTCGAATGTTCTTTCTCGGTAAGGGCACACCTCCTACTTAACATAGATCGGGCGCTCTCTACTGTGGCAGAGTAATGGACAACAGCCACTTAAAAAAATGCTTGAAAAAGTCTGCAATCGTTTTAGCTCTCGGGAGAATTCATTTTATAACTTTGTTGGAGAGCGTTTTTTACGCTTTTATTTTTCGAAGGTTAACGGTCTGAAAAGTTTTTAATCATTTTATTTCTAGTAAACAAGGTTAAAAAGGTTTCTTTATCGACCGCTTGGGGGCTCAAAAATAAAAGCACTTAAATAATTATCAGGTGTAAGTAGATATCAAACATATTTTTCCGTTCTTCACTCCCAAGTTGTGTACCGTAGCCATTATTGAAATCGCAGTTCAAAGAAGGCCGGCAACCCTCGAAAGATGAAAAGATTTTCCTTTTTATGCCCGTTTGCGATCCAAATCCCTGATCAAGACTTAGGAAACACTCGCACATACAGGCGATTAAAAATAGTAAATTACTACAGGATGTAGGGATCAAAGATCACTTTCCGTCGATCAACATGCGGCAATCTCCTTTAAAGTAAATTTTTGTGATGGCGCTTGATTAGAACGCATCTCCTTTTGTACTGGTGTTAGATTAGTACACGAACACAGGTTTCGATCTGACCATAAGCAGTGACTTAGATTACGCTGACACAACGCTGAACAGACCAACTCAAGATTATAGTTGCTTCCACAAATATCTTGCGTCATTTACCCAGTGTGCCCGTCAAACACCAGTGCTAGATGTGTTGCCTACCATCAGGGGAATAGTGTCAAATGTCTCGGATAATTTTGGTATAAGGTTTCAAAACAATGTTAATTGGCAAAGTATTCTTACCCCTATATTCCTTAAGCCTAAAACATTATTCTGAGCTATACTATATATATTGTAAAGTTTCGTATTGGTTTTATGTTACAAAGGGCATCTTATGTACAGGCAGTGATAAAAAAAGGTGAAACACGGAACCAGGATGTCGACTTTGCAACTAAAGGGCTCAAATCGTAAAGAAGACTAATGAAACGAGTGACCATAGGGATGATATTTGCAAAAGTTTAAATTACAGATTGGACAAATTCAATATTACGGGTTTTCAAATTCCTTTGGCTTTGTTAAAGAAAACAGGCGCCATGTGTTCAGTATGTAGTGTTAAAAAGTAATTTGATTAAAATTAAACGTCATATGAAGGTAGTCAGGAAGTCTTTCAGAATTTAGACATAGTTAAATTAAGATGTTGAAATATTTTATTTTAACAGTAATGGTTGACACAATCACAATGGATTTCTTAGACCTTAAATTTTTGTTTCAGACTCTGCAGCAGAAGCTTAAAATCAGGCTGAAGATACCCTGTATTAGAGCATAGAAAAATAATTAACTAATAAAAATTATTTTAACATTGTATAAAAGTTTCATATTTAGATACCAAACTAATTTGTTTAATTTTAGAAGTTTGAGTTCATGAACTTATTTTATTTTTTACATTTTTAAGTCATCTCGTCTTGCAGTTTGCAATTGCAAAATTAACATTTAGAAATTTGCAACTACACGAAATAATTTTATGTACTTTTAAAAACCACAAAGTAGTTCTTTAGGAATACGTTTTTGTGAACTTACTGGCAATTACGTGAAAATGTATTTTGTATAACATTACAAAAGTGGAAAAGTTTGTAAAGGTTTAAGATTGTTTTCCTAGCAAAAGATATTTACAAAAAATCATTAGTAAATTGTTCCTTTTGTGCAATGCCATTCCTCACTAAAGTAGCATGTTCCCATTCCTGTTATCAAAAATAAAAAATTTTAATTGAAAAAATTGTGAATTTGTGTAGGCAATTTACCTCTGTACTTAACTTGAAACTATTGTATTGAAAACTGCTGCATTCAACTATCTTTTTGAAACTATCTTATTTCCAATGAAAAGTCCAATACAATAAACTAAATTCAGAGGCATATCCAGACAAATTTTGGGAGGGGGAAAATGTGTTGGTCAAATGCAATAGATTGTATAAAGGATCAAAGGCTTGCTCAGCTCATGCTGTAATAAGGTTTTCGTTTAATGACCTACCCAAGAAGGTTCTTAATGAAAGCTTCATTAAAAATGGTGAAAAATTTAGGGAAGGAAATTCCTCTTAATTTCGTTTGTGCCTAGTAAATTTGAATTCAAAATTAACAAATTTCTAGTTACCCTCTCAAAAATCAATTAACCGAAAATAAAATGACTAAATAATGAAAACTTGTCTACATAAATTGTCTATGCAAATTTTATATTAAATGTATAATACAATCGTTGTACCAACGAAGCTGCCAATATACCGAAATTAGGCTTCCCTTGATAGGCAGGCGACTAAGCAAGGATTAAACAGAGGTTTAGCACTCTCAAATCTTTGTACCGCCAGTTTCATTTAGAGCCAGCATGGCCGAGAAAGACTCGAAATGCTGCGAGAGATCGTGAAGACGAGCCCTGACATACCGCATTAGAAAACTCGAAGTTTACTTCGTTTTCATATTTCAGTGCTGCCATATGGTGGTGACATAGGGCAGCACTGCAGCCAACCGTAGCAGGCGTAGCGCTGTTTTGTGCTTCCCGGGCTTTACGAAGCGTGGAACTGGTTGTAGTTCTGTAATAGTAATTAGTTTGTATTCGTGTGTGTGGGTGTTAAAATAGGCTATACTTTGAGAAATATGAAACGAACTCGTTTCTATTTGAATGGTAGGAAAATTCATTGAAAAACTATCTTCACATTGAAGAGGTTATGTTGTGAATGCGTTTTATTTTGAAGTAAAGCAATTGCTGTCATCGAAGTCTCGAATGAAGATCATTCATCAATTCATAATGCTTCCAGTCTTCAGAAACATTAACGTCTCTCCACTGAAGCACACAAATCGTCCTGTAAATCCATTTGATCTGTGCCATTTGATTAGAATACGCCTGTGTTCGAGTAAAGCTTCTGCAGTAAAGGAGGTACGAGCAAAACAGATTTCGTATCTTCCATTTGTAAATGATTGATAAACCATATCAATGCTTTTCCTGTAAAATATTGTTTAAAGTATACCTTTTTCACTATTAATGTTTGACAGTTCGAGAATCCTGAGATTTCACATGCAGAAGGGAGTGCTGTAACTATTAGCAACCAATTTGAACTTCTTGCGGATGTAATGACACCTCTATGGAAAATGCCATATGATGAGCAGCTAAGAGAAAAACATAAGTGGTCTCAAAACGTTGTGAGAATGATAAATGAAAGAGTTAATGCAAATCGTAAGGGAAAAAGACGTTTGAATGTGACTCCCAAAATTTATCATGTAAAACCATCAGTAAGTAAAATTAATGTGAAAAATTTGTCGTTAAATTTCAAATGTATATGATTCATTGTTTCAGTTGGCAGCATTATTTAAAGGGACTATAATTTGGTAGAGGTTTTAGTTACACTGCCATATTTCTTTTAAAATTTAAAGGTATTTGTGTTTCCTGACATCTTCTAAAATGTTCTGAGAGGTAGACGTCTGTGTTTCACCTTCATTGTTGTATTTAGTCTAAACTTTTTATCATATTTGTTTAGTACATAAAGGAAATTTGTAAAAGACATATTCTAAATCTCTCTAATATATTCTGTACCATTGTACATCACATTGTGTTCTTTGTTGAACATTTTTATTTGGTGCATAGTGAACGAAGACAGTTAAAGTTTAGCCAAAAATCGTAGCTACATATGACACACTACAATTTTCTGTCCATCAATTGGCATAAAAGTAATTTCCAAATTATCCCATTCCAAAATTTCAGTTTAAATTTGCTGACTTTGAGTCAGTCATTGATTACCTTAGCTGTTAGTCATTGGGTGGTAGTTGCAGTAGTAATAATAAAAATACAGTAATGGAAAAAAATTATATAATTGAAAGAAAAAAATAGTGCAGTATTTCCCAAGGGTTTTGAGCTGACCTTGTCATTAACATAAAATCTGAAAATGAAAGTCCCTAGAGATAGAAGTGGTTAATGCATCTCTGACTCTGTGGCTAAGTACTAAATTCTTGTTATTATTATTATTATTGGGTATTATTTAAAAAGAAGTGATAATCAGATATGCATATGTACAGAATGACTCTACCAATCAATGAAGGAGAATCAGTTTAAGGAGGAATAAAGCCTATAAGTGTCTCTTGATTTTAAAGATAGTAATTCATTGTTATTATTACTTTGCATTAATTGTTATAAGTTTATGAACAATTATAACATTTTTCTACTTTTCATTTCTTTAAATATTAATTTAAAAGTCTCAAATATTAACTTGAAAAGTTAAGAGAAAACTCAGTAAGAATAATTAGTTATGAAAAATAATAAATAAGAACTAACTAAACTGTGTTTTAAGTATTTTCTACAAATTCTATCATTATTAGTAATTTATATTATTTAAACAGTGAAATGAAGTGAAACAATTTGCTTTACTTCTAAAGGACATTGATTTCTTTCATTTTCCCCTCATATTCTTTAAACGAGAGTGAATAGTTATTGAATTGCACAAATTAATTCTAATGACAATGTGTTACAGCCAGTGGTAATGGAATATCGAAATAAGGATGAGTTCAGCATAATGAATGGTGCTGATGGACATCCTAAAACTGTTGGCTTCTTTATTGGCAGTACTGCATCAGATAATGCGGTTTGTGTTCCAGGAACTCATGTTATAACCATGAGAGAAAAGCATAAAAAAATAGCTCAGGTTGGTTTCGTTGAGATTCATCATGAACGGTTAATCTTCAAATATTATTATTTGCTTCAATATGCTCAATAAACTCAACTCAGCTGTAGTTTGTAAATAAGTAATAAGACAATAAATAAATGAAATATGCATTGTTACCCTATAAAAAAGTATTTTACAAAATTTTTGTATTTATTCAGTTTCCATCATGACCTCTGAATGTAGTCAGTAGGCTTAAAAGGCCTTCTGTTGTAAATCTTTTTTGAAATACAACAGTATTGTGTAACAGTGTTGTGTAATGATGTAAATTCAAATGCTTCCCCACTGTCTACGAAATTCACGACTCCAAAACAGAACACTTCTGTCTAAATTAATTGCTTTTCATGAATAATGCAATTGAGGTAGTTGTTCTATTAGTATAGAGTTCTGAATCTTCCTTAACGTTTTTGTAATTTGTTAATCAGACACTTTCATGAGTAATTTTATTAAAGTTATGCCAACGGAATTACAAATAATTTAACCATTGAAAAATATATTTACATTGAAATGTTTTTGTTTTTAATATAATAATAATTCTAACACTTGCATTGTTTATTTTTTCTTACTATTAATTTATTGTCTATCTTTCATTTTGACAGAATTTTGAACAATACATCCGTACATCTGAGCTTCCTGTTTGCACCGATTTTCGCCCTGGGGGAGGAAATTGGCGAAGATTTATAGTTCGATCCAACGAAGAAGGAAACACCCTCGCTGTAGCTGTATGTCATCCACAGTTATTGTCTCAAGAACGATTGACAGAGGAACAACAAAGACTGAAAGAATATTTCACCTCCGGTCCTGGGAAAGATGATTGTCCTCAGTCTTTGTACTTTCAAGCTTGGTAATGTTTTGTTACATTTTAGATTTCTGAAAAATATTTTTTAAGTGATAACATGGACGAGATGTGACATTCATAACAAAATTTAATTAATACATTTTTGAAGCATAAAGAGTAATTTAAAAAAAGGATCCTCAATGTGATTAAATTCTATGGAATAGCTTTTGTTGAATACTGATTTCTTTGATCAGGGAAATATTCTGTTGAAGTTAAACATTTACCTTTTCCTTGTGTTTGCAGCCCACATGCACGATGTACCAATGAGCAAGCACCTTTTGTTTTGTTACATGGTAAGCCATTTCTTGAAGAGCATATGTGGGGGAAAACTTTTCGTATTTCACCAGATTCCTTTTTTCAGGTAAAGGATATAAATAAATTATTGTTTGACTTATCAGCTTATTCCTCAGTCTCAAATCATTAATGTAATTCACGTACAACAAATTGAATGAACTTTGCACTAATCACTTCTCTCTAAACACCTTAATTGATTTAATGTAACTTCTTTCATTGGATTGTATGTTGTTCAGATTAACACGCAGGCTGCTGAAGTGCTGTATGAAACCATATTAAAACAGGCAAATCTGACTCCAAGAAGTACTTTGTTGGATGTGTGCTGTGGTGTAGGTAAGTGTTTGTGTGGAAAATCTTAATTATACAATTACAGGATGTTATGTAACATGGAAGTCCTGGTTGTAAGGTAGTTTGATGTTCAGTCAGGGAGATATTAAGTGATTGTTTTACTTTTAAATATAGAATACAGTTTCAGTCTTTGAAAATTGTACATCAGTTTTTCAACTCGGAAATTTGAGGAATGAAGTCAGATAATGTGAAATTTTTGTTAGATGAAAGAAAATTGAATGTATTGATGATGATGATGATGATGGAATATGAAATTAACTGAGCTCAAGAGTTTTTGTCAGGTTTTAAATGTAGTTCTGAAAAAAATCACAAAAACATTTGTGTCCTTAAACTTTACACTTCTAAAACTCACCGATAATATGTTAGTATGTAGTGGTTGTGACAGTTCATATTGATTAATTTAGATATGTTTAAAAGTTATGTTTGTAACAATAGTTATTATTGGTAAATTGTCTTAACTTTAAAGATTAAATTATAAATATAATGCACACCATTTCGTATCAGGAATTTCCGTAACTTCCTGGAATTTTAGATCTGACTTGTTTACACTTTGTAATAATGTTACAGGAGTGCATATTGAAGGAGATACTGAGGATTGTCTCTTTCTAGTGTGTTGCATGTTCACCCCCGCTGGAAAAGTATTTATTTGTCCCTCTCAGGTTCACAATCAATCAATGTCATTTATTATTGAAAGCTGAAATGTTAAAAGCGAGGAATTCAGGTTAAGTAAATTGGGAAGGAAAATTTTCCCTTCAGCATCTTGGAATTTATTTAGACTGAGCTGTACAGGCAAAGATGATGTTAGTTTCACTCATCAGTTCATTGAATCATCCATCCTTGGTGATTTCCTCCCATCTTCAGGCGCTGTAAATATGTGCCGATTTGCACTGTGCTCAAGAGTACAGTGACATATTGTCATGGGATACTAAGGTGCTGAACAACACCATGTAAAATAATCATCCATAAGCGCTAAATATTTTATTGATAATCTTACAAGTAGACTGTTAAGTCAAAAACATTGTCTATTTATTTCATGTGATTGAATTTGGCTTGTTCTTCCACATTGACTTCTCATGCAATGTTTGTTGAGTGTGTCAGCAGAGTGCAACGGATGGATAACATGCATGTGAAGGCAATAACTTGATTCTCTCCCTCACGACTCCTATCCCAGTGATTTCTGAATTTCAATAATGTTGTAAAATGATCAGAAAAGAACGTTAGCTCGTTGCATGTTTTATCAATGTAGTGCAACATGCTTCAAGGGGTAAGTGTGTTTCTTTCTTGCTTGGGCGTTCCCTGCATGGTCCTGTGTTAATCACTGATCAGAGGCAGTAGAAGTAGTGCTTCCTTATTACATATTACAGAACAATTAAATTATCTCATAAATGTATTATATCTTATTTCAATCTGAAATTTATTTATTCACAAGTGATATTTTTATTCATACTTGGGAATTATAGTTGAGCCAATGCAATTTCTTTTGAGAATCTAATAGTCCTGGTTGTAATGAGAAATTCTATATAGTATTTAGTTTATCCTCTGCAAAAGCTATGAAAAAAGTTTGTTTTATATTAACCATTCCATTATAAACTGCAGCCAATGAACGTAGTATGAGTACCCCCAAGCAAATCAAAATGCAACTGAGAAATTCAATGAACAACGAGAGACTGTCTTGTTTAAGTTTCTTTGCCATTGAAAAGACTTCTTGGAGAACTGTCCAGATTCACAATTTCTTAATCCAAATATTGTTGTGTTTGCACAAAAGGAGGATAGAAGAGAGGTCATAATTTATAAGTGTAAATTATCCCAAGGTAATTGTGTGTTTCTTCATGCCTGTTCACGTGAGTCACAAAATTAAATTAATTATCCATTCCTTATATATTCCTTGTATGTTTATCCATTCCTTAGTTGTACCATCTGTTCTTTAAACTTTGATATTCCATGTCTTAGTGATGTTAAGAATATCTAAAATCTATTTTTAATTTCATTTACTTGCACCCTAACATCTTCAATCTGGAAAGATATTATAATATTGATTTTATATCTTAAAGTCTAAGTGACATTAGATATCACATTATCTTCCATTCACCTTGAAATTGAACATCCCTAGACAAGCAAATTAAACTATGCTACTTGTCACTGTTGCAGTCAAAACTGACAGTGATTATTTGTTGTGTCATTGATTTATGTAAATATCATTATGAGCTGAATTTGGAGACTTCATGTAAAACTTCTTTCTTTCCATTCTTATAATTGTTTAATGAACAGATTACCTATTTATTCTTTTAACTTCGGAAAATATTTGTAAGACTTATCAGAAGTGTTCAAAATAAAATTCCGTTTAGTCTCTGATCCTCTGAGCCAAGGACATAGCTCTTTTATTAAATCTTGTTTCACCTCAGTGAAGTGTGTCCTCTTCTTTTTACTGTATTTTGTACTTACATCAATTAATAACTCATTATATTCTTTCCAGGTCCTATAAGCATTTTGGCAGCTGATCATGTGAGAGGTTGTGTTGGAATTGAATCTGTGCGGGATGCTGTTCTAGATGCAAAATTCAATGCAAAAATCAATAATGCAACTAATGTTGATTTTTTCTATGGTTTAGCAGAGAGGGTAATTTACTTTTTATTTATTTGTCATAATAGGCTGTGTTGAATCTATGATAATTTTAATACATTTGCAGCTGACAGAAAGAATAATAGAAGAACTGAATTTAGCAACAGATATTGTAGCTGTTTTGAATCCTGGAAGGGCTGGTTTGGGTGAGTTTTTACTTGTATCTAGATAGGTTCACAACTTTTTAAATTGAAATACTTATGAAGAAATCTGTTAGGTCTGGAGAAAAGAGATGGATCAAAACAATAAAAAAAATGTATTATTCCTAGTGTTCAATTAGCATTTTCAACCAATTTTATAAATTTTTCTTGTTTCTTTCATTAAAAATAAATTATTTTTGAAAAATTAACCATATATAGGTCATTTCCCAGATTCAGATTTACTGTAGTTAAGCTTGTGAGAAACAAGAGATTTGTTATTAATATTTCTGCACTGTTCCTTCATTGTTTTTTCAATAGTGTTAGATGTGATCTTTTTAATGTTTATTGTAGGGAAGATGACGGATAAGTGGTCTCCACATTTTATTTTCAACACTGACTGCTATGAGAACCTGGTGTTAAGTGTCCCATTACATAACTTCATCACCAATTGTTTGGTTCTTTTGTCAATACAAGTACTATTTAATAAAAAATGTGTTAAAGAGTGAAAAAAGACTTGAAAAGATTGCTAAGTTGTGAACACAGTCATGGCAGTCTAACTCGGTCATTAACAATTTTCAATTTTTGGAGCAATTAAATACCCTAAAGTGGAAAATTCTTAGGATTTACTTTTTTCTTTTCAGTGACAGCTATTTCTTCATATAATTACTGATGATCTTAAAATTTAATTAATTTATATATGTAAAATAACTACAACATAATGTACATACACATGGAAATGATGTAGTTACGTTTTGATCCTTATTGAGATTTTATTCATGTCCTTAAAACAATGAGTGGAATGTATTAACCTAATACATTTTCATAGCAGTTTCATAATTTTTTTAAAACCATAAGTAACCATGTAAATAAATAAATAAATAAATCATTAAACATAATAACTGCCATTGAGAGGAATTTCATTTTGTTTGAAAATTGTAAATTTGTAAAAAAACTTGGAATAACAAGTTCATAACCTAATAATTTGATAGTAAAATGAGATTTGCTTATTAATGTATTTGATAAAAATACATCAGAATTAAATTTTTAATTGTTAGCATGCTAAAGAATAGTAAGTGTGAAAATCCATTCTATCAGTGTTGTTGAAAATTTGGTAAATTTTATTATGTACATTTCATTTTATTTTGTTTCATGTTTGCAGATCCAAGAGTGCTACGTTTGTTGTACAAGTGTCCACAAATTTCTACTGTGATATATGTTTCCTGTAAAGCAGATATGCCTTCTACCCTCAAGAATTTTGTTCAGCTGTTAACAGAGGGTAACTTCAAATTGAAATCTGTTACCCCTGTTGATTTGTTTCCTCACACATGGCATACAGAACTCATTTTGAAATTTATAAGATGATGATGTGCAATATTTTACTTAAGTAGAAGAAGAATGACAAGAGTAAATTAATTTTAAAATTTCAAAAAAACTCGGAAATATTATTTTGAATGAAAAATATTTTAATTGTTTGGTTGGGCTGTTCACTAGAAGTCTGTGCAAGTTTAACAAAAAATATCAATTTTTCTGAAACAAAATGTTTTCAGAAATAAATAAGAATAATTCAAAAAAGAGAAGTGTTTTTGAACTAAGTTGACAAACAAATCAACACAATGCTTGTGCCAAATTTAGTTCTGAGTATTCCTTACTTGGAACTTTCTTGTATTCATTGAATAGAGTCAATTTGTAATTGTTATAATTTGTAATAGTTGCAAAATATTGATCTCATCTCAAGATTTTGATGGAAATACTCACTTTGGGGGTTCCTGCTACCAAGAAAGTGTTGTGTTGTTTTCCCTTGTGTACCTTTTTTTCCCCAAAACTTTTGTCTGTTTGAAACCTCTGAAATTTCAAATATTGCAGAAGTTCAACTTTCTTTTTGATGTGTGATTCAGGAGTGTTTGTATATTTGATTTATTTAAAATAAAAATAAAAAACTGTACAATAGGAGGGGGTAGAGATCCACATTGAGTGAACACCCACACTACTTGGAAATTTGGGAGGGAAACTGATTTTGGAATCGGGACTGGCAACACTGATTCCCGCCACTGAGAGTAGCTGTCCTGTGAGGTGATGTTGCTTTTGTTTGGTCTATTGCCGAGAAAATGTAGAAAGTTCATTTTTTATGATTCAAAATAATTTTTAAACAGTTAAGCAGTTTTCAATAGTTAGTGTAATTTCAATATGGGTAATTACATGCGAACTCAGCACGACATGACACCCGACCATCTCAGATTTTTAAAAACTATTATTACTGTTTTTAAATTTGTTGTGGAGAATCGATATCCAAAGTTTCAGCCCTCTATGATAATTATTTTCTGTTTTACCAGTGCTATATTTTTTTAATGGATAAGGTGTGATTTTAGACATACCTAACTTGTTTTACACATTATAACTCAATTTCTCACACAAAATGCACCAAAATATATGTTTTCTGTATGGAAATTAACCGAAAAATCGATCTATGATGTTTTCAAATGAAAATTTTGAGTGTCTACCGGTCAAAATGGCGGATTTTTGAAAAAAGCCAAATTTTTTCAAAATTCAAAATATCATATTTCATATATTTTTAAAATTATCAAACCACGATAAAAGTTCATTTTTAGATATAGGTTCATAATTTTAAACATTTGTTCTGGGGAATAGTATTTGAAACTTTTTTTTTTAATTATTGTTAGTTATAGAGGTTGTATTGGTTGTAGATATACCCATTTCTATTTACTCATTTCATAACTCATTTCTATGCTGAAATCACTGAAAACTACATGATTCTGAAAGTGAAAAATCGTTGTGTAACATTTCTAAACACAAAATTTTGTGGATTGTTTAGGAATATCTCGTGCGATAGCTGACGCTGTTGGAAATTTAGTTAAAGAAAAAGGTATTTATGCGTTACCAGATAAAAAGAGTGGTAGCAATGTTCTGACAGAAGAAGAAAAACAAAAAATTATAAATTTTTATTGCGATGAAACAAATGAAAATTCAAAAATGTTAGCTGGAAAAAAAAATTGTGTTAGTGTTGGAAATAAGCAGTACAAACAAAAACAATTGTTGTTATTTACTTTAAGAGAATTGTACACAATGTACAACTTGAAAACAGTCGAATCAGTTTGTCAACCTTTTGTTCTTATCGGCCAAAATGGTGTGTCCTCGCTGGCTCTTCAGGAACACATTCAGTTTGCGTATGTACTATTCATCAGAATGTTGAATTGCAGCTATTTGATTCCAATTTTTTCTCGATTCCAATTTTTCATTGAATGATACAATATCAAAACTTCTTTGTGATGTAAAAAATCAAGACTATGCTACGCAAGTGTTTGGAGTGTTCTAAACAAGATGTAAATACAATTTTAGAAAATTTGTTTTTAGACACATGTGAAGAAGAAAACGTGTGATGAAAATGAAGATGACAATATAAAGTTCAAACAATGGGTTTTCACTGATGGAGCTGATTTAATTACACCACTTATTTCAAAACACGAATTACTTGAACTTCTCAGTGACACTATGATTAAGCTCATACCGCATGATTTTGTTACTAAAGAACAATACAAACACTTGCGTAGTTTGAAAGATAACTTCACCGAAAAATAATGTATTGTCCTAATGGATTTTAGAGAAAATTTCAATTTTATTACACAGGATCAAGCGCAAGCATACTTAAAACTGGACAAACGTGCATGCACTGTACATCCAGTTATCATTATTTCAAAGAAAATGAGAGTTTAAGAATCAATGGCTTCGTTATTTGTCAGATGATTTAAAACATGATGTCCAAATTGTTCATATTTTCAAACAAACAATGTTGATTATATAAAAGAAAATTCCCAAATGTGGACAAAATTCATTATTTCAGTGATGGAGTCCGGGACAGTATAAAATTGTATAACTTCTTGCGTCTATGTGAGCATGAAAAGTTGTATCAACTGAATGCTATTTGGACATTTTGTTACGTCTCATGGTAAAACTGAGAATGATGGAGTGGGTGCTACTGTTAAACGAGAGGCAACCAACGAAAGTTTGCGCAGACCGTATCAGGATCAAATTACAGACGTTGATCAATTATTACAGTTTTGTAAAGATCACATCAAAACACATGTGAAAGTTGTTAGAAAAACTGAAGTTGATGAATATCTAATTGTAACCCAATTGAAAAGCATTTACAGTTCGGGGTACACGCAACTTCCATGAGTTTGTGCCTGTTCAGACTGATCATACAATGCAAAAACATAAGCACTGAACAAAATATTCTGTGGTATTTGATTTAACTAACAAAGAAAAAGTAAATAAAAAATTCCGTCAAATATTGTTGATTATATCTAATACATGTCAAAACTAAATAACGTTAATAATAAATAAATTCAATTAAAATGTATTACACATTGTTATACTTTTTTCCCAAATTCGCCAATTTAATTAGTATGAATAAATTTGTGTTTAAAAATGTTACACAACGATTTTTCACTTTCAGAATCATGTAGTTTTCCGTGATTTCAGCATAGAAATGAGTTATGAAATGAGTAAATAGAATGAGTATATCTACAACCTCTATAACTAATAATATTTAAAAAAAGGTTTCAGATACTACTTCCCAGAACAAATGTTTAAAAATAATGAAATCTAACATCTAAAAACGAATACTTTTATCGTGGTTTGATAATTTTAAAAATATATGACATATGAGATTTAGAATTTTGAAAAAATTTGGCTTTTTTCAAAAATCCGCCATTTTGACCAGTAGAGTCTCAAAATTTTCATTTGAAAACATCATAGATCAATTCTTCGGTAAATTTCCATACAGAAAACACATATTTTGGTGCATTTTGTGTGAGAAATTGAGTTATAATGTGTAAAACAAGTTAGGTATGTCTAAAATCACACCTTATCCATTAAAAAAATATAGCACTTGTAAAACAGAAAATAATTATCGTAGAGGGCTGAAACTTTGGATATCGATTCTCCACAACAAATTAAAAAAAGTAATAATAGTTTTTAAAAATCTGAGATGGTCGGGTGTCATGTCGTGCTGAGTTTGCATGGTTCCACCCATATTGTATTGTGGCAAAATTCAACCAAGAGAGAGAGAATACTTAGAAGAAATAACATCTTGTGCAGATGCCATGTTTTAGTTACTGTTTTTCACAGAACTTAATTATAATTTTTTTTAATGTGGAGCTAAGATCTGCATACAAAATGGGGCAAATATCTGAATGAGGATGTTTGCCCATACTGAAATATTGAAGTAAAAGATTAACTAATTTCAATTCTTCTGATAAAACATAACTTTTAAATTGTGTTTATATAACCTTTTGGCTTGTGTTGCAGAGTGCACAAGAAAGGGCAATAATTTCCATCTATTTACCAAGGCTATCTTAAACAAAGCACAGTAACTCCTTATAAGGATTGTTCCTGAAAAGAAAAGCAGCCAAGAAGCTGAAATTTGAGGACTCATAGTTAACAGAAAAGAAGGGGGAAAAGGGTAACTGCTCTGATATATTTGGGTGATGTCGAAAGGTTTTCACATACAGACAGGAACTCAGACTAATGCATCATTGCAAGGCCCTACAATCACGGTTTTATAATGATTTCGAAGCCATTGTATTGTTGTTTTCAAATTTGCTGAAGAAAATATCATTCCAAATATTACAAATACAGGCAGGGATTTCACTATTCTTTTATGAAAAGAAACTGTTGTATCTCTGAGGATATCTGGAAAGACCAGCTTAATCCATTTAAGTAATGATATTCAGTAGCTGTCATGCAACTTGAAAGCGATAAATATGGATAAAACTGGGTCCCAAACAAGTTGTCCCAACACATTGCTCCTGTGAGTATGAGAGATGTGTTGATGTCTGGGTCTGCTGAGGAGGAGCAATGTGTCAGTGGCTAGTAAATTCCTCAATTTTTTACTGCAATAAAAGGCAGAATTTATTGTTAATAAAAAAAGACATGGTGTGACATTGCTGTATCAGAGAAAGGTTATACAAACACCCTCACGTTTTTAAAATGTCTGGATCATTTAAAGACGCATACTGTACCGACAAAAAAAGTTCAGTTTTGCTAATTCTCGATAACTACGCTTGTCATGCATACGTAGCAGTTAGTCATGAGAAAGCAACCCACGTTCATATGGTCAGTTTGCCACACTACAGTGGCAAAAAAACTAGACAGGTTGTTCTTTAAGACCTTCATTAAACATTACATCACTGCTCTTGACAACTGGAGTTGTAATCATCCAGGGAAAACCTGTAGGCTAGCGGCACACGATCGTCAAATGAAGGACGTTTAAGTCGGTCGTCGAGTGGAACAGTGGAAAGCACACATCATTTAATACCGGACCGTGGCTCACGAGTGCGCTGCATGACGTGCGTCAGAAATATTGTCTGATTTAAATGTGGTGACTCCTCAAGGTCGAAAGATTGAAGTTAATCAAGCTTCCGATTGGACAGTAGTGTACCCCTTTCCTAGCTTGCGACCTTGGCAAGTCACTCTATTTAAATGGGGAATAGCGTCCGTTGGGTACCAGACGACGGACGTCACGTGCTAGTCAACGCACGTTACTCCGTGACGCACGTTGTGGCTTCATTAGGATATCTTTGGATGTCACACGGTCAGCGTTGCGACGGACGTTATCATTCCACAAGTTGAACAGGTAAACATGGAAAGAGTCGACACCGAAATGCTCATAAAAGAGGTTGAGAACAGACCAGTTCTATGGGACCCTTCGTTTGACGAGTACAAAAATAAATTTAAAAAAACAGAGGCATGGGAAGAAATATGTACTATCTTCGACCCTACTTTCTTCTCGAAAACCAACATGGAGAAAAAAATTCAAGGTAAATTTAAGATATTTGTAAAATAATATTAAATTTTTTATTCAATATTTTCAATTTTACAATAATAATATTAATAATAATTTATTACTAGAGCTCAAAAGTGCAGGCATTAATTTTTACTAAAATAGGTATAAAAAGACATTTATTCTAGCTACTGTAGCACAGCAAAAAGGCATGTAAACAGTGAAAAATCACATTTTAAAAGGATCATTGTAAAAAATTAAAGGGAATCACATATTTATTCCCACTGTAAAATTTTTCCTTAGCATTTAACATGTAAGGAAATGATCTTTTTTTTGTAATCTGGAGTAGACGTGGCCATCTCGTATGATGGCTATGAATGTGTTGAACTCGCGACACTCTCTTTTGAATCTTGAAATGGCATCAGTGAAACCAAAAATTATGTTTTGTTCTTTGCCCTTGTGTAATCCTTAGCACTAAAAATTTATATCGTATACAGAGAGCTGTTCTCAAAAGGGATCGAAGTACATACCCAAAAGTCAGATGGGATTCCTTTTGAGTAAACAAAGTCTCTCAATGTCAATGAAAATCTAAAATCTTGACTGGTATTTATATTTTTAAAATAGCCTCTGCTTCCACAGGAAGACAAATCCCGACTACATCCTTGCATTGTCCAGGCTTGTAGGTATAAATCCAACATGATTGAGAACAGTGTTAGGAGAAGAAAAAAGCAAAATAATGATACAAAAGGCACAAAAAATTGAAAGTAAGACAAAATGGCAAAAATAGGCAATGATGAAACTCTGCTAAAACAACTCGAAAAGTACAATTAACTGATTCCTATTGTTAAAAGTCATAAAATAGTAACAATATCAAAAAGGCATTTGCCAAATTTCTGTGCTCTATTTATTATTATTATTATTATTATTATTATTATTATTATTATTATTATTATTATTATTATTATAGTGAAACTGGCATTTGTACTGATGTACCATTTTCTTTATATATTCCTTGAATTATCTATTTATTATCATGGTAATTGCTTTTAGTATATTGTAGTTTACATCCCAAGATAGTTTTAATTACTAAAAAATTAATTGAAGGTTAAAATGACTGTCAAATAATGTACATATAGGCCTATTCTTAATTTATTACAAACATAAAAAGTTGTTTTAAATTACCTTTTATACATGTAAAACTTGTCATGTATTGCGATGGCAGTTCTCCATGCTCACCAACAGAATAGTTTGCCAGTGTGTATCTGTATGTAGTGACATGTCTGTTGTCAGTGTCAATTCATATACAATCAAACACTGTATGACACTGTTTATTCAAACAGTATCAACACTCAATATCTTCCAACCCGTTGGTTGTTAATGTGCCTTCAAAATTATGACTATTAGTGCCAGAAACGTAATTTTGTAGAACACAACACATTTATTACTTAGATCTACCAAATTTATGTGAAAATTCATAGGCATATGAATACATGCCACTTGTTTGAGAAAATGCCGAATGCACATCCAACATTATGCCTTGCCTTGGAAAGATGATAGTTAAAAATTCTCTTCTTTTTGACAACTGTGTTCCAGAAAATGGCGTCAGAACATTTGGTGATGGAGCAACATCTTCATCACGAGACAATTTCCATACTCTATCAAATTCTAAAATATTCATGCAAACATGCACTAACAAATACCCAACATGCTCGATGCATGGTAAAAATTGACTACACGTGCAAAATCTTTCTTTTTGATTTTTTTATTGTTTTGTTTTATTTTTGTTTGTTTGTTTATTTTGTTTTCTTGTCTTTTGTAACAGTTAACAATTTTTCTAAATTTTACTCTATCAAATTCATCCTTTTGTCAGAAATGAATGTTTATGAATGCAGAAATGCTTTGTACGTCCCAAGACGTAATTGGAACTTACTTCAAAGATTGAATCTGCGCCAATGTAAGGTCATATTCCAATTTTTTACCACACAAATAATTTTTTTTTTTGTCTTGGATAATTTCCAAATGAGGATTTGGCACATTGTACAATTACTCATTGGTAGTCACACTGTTATCTCCAAATGTGAATTCTAAAGACATTTTAATGTCTTCAACAATTTTTAATGACTGCTCTAGAAGTCAACCTTCTGTTTCCAATTTTTGAAGTGCTGTAGGCAACTTTTCAAAATTTGTTTATACATCTTTTTCAAATTCTTTTTACAGACATGGCTTTTTTAACATATTTGATTGTATTTTTTGCATGCAAGTGGACTGAGAGTCTACAAGACTGCGGGGAAAAAAAAGATCAGTGCTTTTGGTCCTGATGATTTGAATTCATTTAGGCTAATAATTAATAGAACTGAAATCAATTTTTCTCTGATATGTAAGATTTTTTTGTAAATTCAAAGTAAAGACTGGTAAACAAAAACTTTTGATTTATGAAAGTTTCATGAAATACAGTGAATAAATCAAGTAGTGGTGGAGAAAATGAAGTTTGATTGTCATGTTATGCCCTACAGTTTTCATAGATATTAGCATTTCATCCACTGTAGATTTGAAATCTGGTTGTTTGGTTTTTTTTTGACAAATGAATTTAAAGCAGTCTCCATTCTTATTCAGAGCCTTGACATACTTTAATTATAACAAGCTTGATATGGAGTGGTGGAAAAATACTGTTTTCACAATTAATCAAACTTATTAATTCATTTTTAACTCCAGGATTCGAAGTATTTCTGATTGGCCAATCCCTTTTGACCCAGTGCAATTCACGAACTGTGCTATCCCATTCACGTTGTTTGCAGAAAGCAGGGGACTTTAGTAAATCCTAGATGAAGTCCCAACAATATTCCAATAACTTTCAAGTCTCTCATTCATGATTTTCGTATTTTTTTAAAAGTTCTTTCATGTTTTCGTTTATTTAAAATGAATAGAATGAACTACTGGTACTGACACATATGGGTTTCCATTATGAAGCACAGAAGCGTTTTGGCTGCGTTTCGAAGAGTTTATAAACAACCTCCATTAATCACTGACATATCTTATTACGTATTTTGAAAGTACATTATGAATGTTATTACGTATTTTGAAATCACGTTATGAATATTATTACGTACTTGGAAAGTACATTATGAATGTTGTTGCAGTATGTAAATCGACCCTGTTTCGTGAAATACTCAAGGAACTATTCTTCTCATTTTCGATACCAGTAAAACGTTGAGCCTGGAACGAACGTATTTTTATCTTTCAACCGTGAGCCTAAAACCTGCGCCAATTCCATTGAGAAGCCAAGATCTCACACCGAATCATTAGATTTAGATTTATTCAGTTAAAAAAAAAACAAAAAACAAACAGTAAAAACTTTATGTGACGTAGGTGGAAAAGATAATCTGCGCAGGTTTTCTCGGGTTCCAGAATCCCTTCCCGACATTTTAGTTAGTTGAAAGGTGTGTTGAAAGTGTAACATAATCCGTAACGTCCATTTCACTACCACAGCAGTCTGAATAATTTGAAGATGATGTAGATGGTACGCCATGTGGTGAGTTTGGTATGTCAGGACCATGTGGTACTACGGGTCTAATTGCTGACGTAAGTTATTGTAATGCACTGCCAACGTTCATTTGAAATTTAATCAATCGTAAATTTCGCAGAAACCGTGGGCGATGTGAAGAAACCGAATGCACATATTTAATGAGGTTGCAACACCGACGCATTGTCAGCCTACTTTTAATCAAATGCAGTGAGCTACTTTTACTTTAGCGCGTGCTATTTTGAAATCGAAAAACCGAATTTTTTGCAAAAATTGTTCGTTATAGAAAAAAACTAAAATTATATACGTAATCATAATGAAAAACTGATTCATAATCACTCTTTTTCATCAAAAATGGCAAATCGTCGCAACCCTGTATTCTTTTCCCCTCCTATTGTCAGTTCTCAAGTGACACTGAATTACAGCTTCTTGTAAATCCCGCCCACGTGACTCTTGTAAGCCTCTCTTTATTAAAATAGGTATTTTACAATTGCCTTGTCTCTTAACATATGAATCAGTGGTTTTTGTCAAAAATGACCTACTTAAGGGCGGGAATATATTTTTACTGCTGTAGTTATACAAACGTTGTCTATAACTACAACACTCGACGTAGTAATCATATTCATCAGGTAACAGTATCAACAGCTCATCACAAAAAATTCACATATAATACATGTACATTATTTTACAACACCTTGCCAGATGACAAACGATTAAATTCGATACAAAAGTTTAAGTCCTAAGAATAATCTTTTCTGCTGCCCAACTGTTTCTACACCATTAGAGACTATACCGACCATTCAAAAGGAAAGTAGTATTAATTTTAACAATGACATTTAATGTATTATATATCATTTGGATTGTATAATTGTAAAGAACCTGTAACATATTGTACTTCAGCTTCTGGGTCAATGACCCCCATCTCGGTTAGGTTTTCGTCCAGTTTCCCTAATCCATTGTGCAAATGCTGAGAAGGCCCATTGCTTTGCTTCTGGTCGTACATGTAGCTTCACTATTCTCACGTTTTGTTGACCTCTCTTTTGTTTGAAGTGGTAGGAGTAGAGGTAAGGGAGATCTATTTAGTTAGCAAAGCAGAAACATCATGTCTGCAATTCGTTTACCGTTGCAAATACGTTTTCTATTACTTGTGAATGAAAATATGTATTTTTTTTCAAATATTCATAAACTAGCCATAAAATTGTATATATCTTTAACTTTTACGCATAGTTAAAATGATAGGAAGTAGTTCTGGAACTCACGAAAACGTGCGCAGATCTTCTCCCCCATACGTCGGTACAGTTTTTACCGTGTTTTTTGTTGTGTTTTTGTTTAACTAAATAAATCTAAATTGATTTATTTCATAAGTGTTGCTCACAGCGCATGTATTCGTTTCGGAAATTCTAACGCGTGTATTGGAGTGTTAAACTTTCTAGAAAAACAATATGTAAAGACAACTGCTAGGATTTGTTGGGAGCTTCCAGAAACTAGTAATAATATATGTACTATTTATACGAAGTGTGCGTCAATTTTAATACTTTAAATTATGTTTAAAACGTGTTCCTAATATGCTAGATAGTCTGAAGTATTTGCAGTATTTAAACAATTAAACGGGCGACCCGTATGATACGGTTACCCGTAAGAATGCGGGTGGGTTTGACCCGTTAGAATACCCGCTTATACGGTCTATGACTAAAGACCCGTATAACTCCAAGAGCTCTAGTCCACGAATGCATTATACACGAATTTCTCTCAAAAAGTACCAAAAATTCAAACATAGGCGAAAAAACTGCATTTTTAAAATGAGTTTGCCAAGAAAGATGTATTTACAATGTTTGTAAGCTCCACGAAGCTTAAATAAAAACATGCATTTGCATGGAAATCCAGTCTATCGCTAATGAATGCACAAGGCATGCTGGTATCCTACACCCTGAAATGTACTTAGGAATTGTGTGCTAAGGGTAGGGGTTAACCTCTTCCACAAATAGCATTCTTTGAAAACCGTTGTGTCAGCCTCTCTACCATCCGACCCAACAGTATGCGTCTTCTTGCTTGCAGTAACGCTAAAAAAATATTTTAAAACAAGGATGCTCTGTGTGCCAGTTTTACTATCCCATGATTGCTGTCTACAGCTCCCAGGCAGTATGGGAAATTGGTTCTTCAAACAAAACCTTGTGATATTTCTTTCCACATTTCCTCTATGGGTTTGGAAAAACACCCCCCCCACACACACACACACACACTTCTCAAATCTTCTTGCATGTCCTTGTGATTATCGTATTTGCAGTAGTTCATCCCTTGCTTTAAGTGAAGTGACACTGATGAAGTCTGCATCCGCCTGCAAGATACCTAGAGTAGGAACACAGTTCTCAGAAAACATATTGTCAATATTTACATTGATTCGTTTCATTATTTCTCAAAAGTGTTTTAAAAATATTAACAAAACTACTTTTTGTTTGCAGTGATAGAAATTACTTCCAAATGGAGGACGGTACGAGATAATTATATACGAAGTCTGAAGAAACAAGAAGAACACGAGAAAACAGGAGGTGCAGCGAAAAGGCACTCCAAATACACATACGAACCACTCTTGTCGTTTTTGAAGAAGTCCAAGGAGCTAAGGGCTAATGATAGTAGCCTCAGTGAGCCAAGTAGTCAGCCGAGCACTTCTGGTAGTATCAGTGAGCCAATCACTAGTGCTTTCGCCCCAAAATTAGAGGACATTCAACCTCAACGGATCGGGCTCCAAAATGTGCCTCGAAAAGCGACGCAACAAAAGAGAGAGAGAAACAGTATAGAAAATACGTTTGAAGAATATATGCAGTGCGTTTTAAAAAAAATGAAGAGTGGGGAAGAGGAGGATGACAACATGTCATTTTTTAGAAGTTTAATGCCCGAGATCAAAGAACTCACCAGTAACGAAAAAATTAAATTTCGAATGGGAGTCATGCAATTGCTTCTTGATATCAAAAGTTGTAGGGAGTAGGCAGTGGATGCTGCATTAGGAAATTAATAAAAGTTTTTCTAAATTTATTTTTGTAATATTTCATTTCTGAAACCATGATTGTTAGTAGTTAGCTGGCACTACGTACGTATTTTTATAAAATAATGTCAGTGTAAACACGCACCTGATGATTACAGCAAGCATATTTTTATACATATAGCAAATCTCATATTCATATCTTGCTGTCTGATGTGGTCTTTGTTTTTCGTAAGCAGCTCCATAAAAGACGGCTCTGACATGGGTAATTTATTAAAAAAAATACTCGCAATCAGTTGAAGAGTGTGGAATTCGCCTTATAAAAACAGTTTGCTATTATTTGGATGAATTCACCACTTCCGATTTCTGAAACAGTTTAACTGCCATACAACCATATTTATTGGTGAATATTGACATAAATTGAAGGGTACAAAATTTAAAGACAACATTGCCATTAATCACGCACTGCATCCAGGGGCGAATGCAGCCAATCAGTGGAGGGGGAATCGTATATTTTTGTTAAATAATTAGCGTACTTGTTATATTGTATATTATTTATATACTGCATATATAATATACAATATTGTTTAAATAATTTCATAATTCGATCATAAATTTTTCCAAATGAAGGAAAGTAAACAAAAAGTAGTCTTTTTTGGGGGGGACGTGGCTCACATCCCCCCCCCCCTGGATCCACCAGTTTCATTCTATCTTTTTTTCCCCTTCAGTCACTCTTCGCTTTCTTTTTACGGTTCGCAGTATCAAAAATTATTTTCCGCTTATTAATATTAAACGTACTTTTGCAAATGAAACATCGCTTTGTCGAGAAACAAACCTCGGTACTTCTATATATGAAAGATTAAGGATTATTTCAATATTAAAGGAAGTTGTACCATTAACCTACCCTACCAGGAGCTCGAAAAAAAAAGAATATACTATCTTGCGTGCTACATAGAAATACACGTCTTGAATATCAGCTATTAAGTTTTGATCCAAAGGAAGATTTGCCACTAATATTTAACGGAATGATCCGAACGTTTAACTTCTTTAGCAGCGCTTCTGAACTTTCTCTGATATCGTGATGTTTTGAAAACTGATGGAAAGGTCACGACATAGGTCAAACCATAAACAAGATGGAATTCATAATTGAAACATGCCCGCACGAAAAGGTCGTGTCGAGGAAAGGGAGCGGTTGCTCCCCTGGTATAATAACCTCTTAAAGATTAACGTTCTCGAGAGACGTTTTTCATATTTTATTCACGCATTTTCTAACAAGTCCAATTTGCAGTATTGTCGATTGATCGACTTCCATTCAACATCCAGCTTCATTGCAAGAGGATGCCTCAAGTGTTAAGACTCATCTGCAATCACCGTCTGATGTGTCTCAGACAAACCACACAAAATCGAAAGAATGATACGTGATAAATTAAATATATCATTTTACCATTGTCCTTTTTTTCGATCGTTTAGAACATTCTTAATATGTTCAATATTTATTGTGCCTCCACATTGTATTAGGAGGAATGAAGATCTAATCCATTACCGAAATCCCTTTTCGTCATTTGTTTTCTTGTACTTTCATTTTAGACGCAGAATCGATTCAGGGTTTCAAGCGAGGCAGAGAGCACGCGCGCGTATTAGAATATCTTATTGAAGTACATCCAATGAAAACGTTGATATATCAGATCGTTTTGTTTTACTATTCTTTAATGTTGACAAGGTCCACGGCGATTTCAGAATCAGTTTGATTCCCAAAATCTTAATATCAATGTAATATCAATATTTAATTTAAAACTTAAGTACAGAGAAGACGTATCTGAAGAGATGATCTTTCAAATACTTATATTCGACCGTTTTCTTGGTACTTGAGTACTACAATAATACCGTGACCGTTAGTACTTGAGTACTAAAATAATATTACTCTTAATATTATACCAATATTTCAAATCGATGGAGTACCAACTACATCGATATTGGTTGCCCTGACGACGGCATCTGAAGACTTCGACGTAACAAATGCTGCATTATCACCCAGTCACCCCCATCTGGATGATATAATCGAAATGCCCATTGTATATTCTAATTTTGGTTGATATAAAAGTTTACCCAGTTTAATTTCGATGTTATTTATGAAACGTATCTTTAAGTATTGTATCTTTGGCTGTCCAGGAGTCACTTTTTTAAATTTCTTAATAATTTTAACAGCTAAATGTTGAGCGAATTTCTTTCGACAACGAGTTATTTGATTTTATTGATTATCTTTTTTTATGTAATCAGCGTCAGTGTTATTAGAATCCATAAAGAACATGCTTTTCATTATGAAGCTCATGACACTCGAATAAAATGCTATTCAGCTGTATGAGCACTATCATAGATAAAACAAAAAAATATCACTTTATTTAGCACAGTTCAGTTATCAAGTTACAGATGATTCGATTTGAGAGTGAGAAAATAATTCGTCATTTTAATGAGAAACGCTTTCTTTCTTCACTGCAGTGTATCTGCTAATTCTGTTACCCTCTTACATCCAGAATCTAGTGTAAATGGTGAGTTAAATCGGTGGACTTACTGCTGAGGTTACATTATCTACTTTATTCGAGACCGTGAAGAAAGGGACGTATACTTACACAAGTATTCGGATATAAAGTTTTTTAAATACCAGCCTGGAAACTTACTGAAACAACTAGAAAACAAAATACTTACCACCACCCGAACGAAAAAATACTTGTTCTCGTGATGGACTATTAAGTGTATCCCACGGACAAATTGTAGCAAAATCGATGTGTCGAATAAAATATTGTTCATCACACGTCAAAAGTAATTTACATGACACGACGGGATTCCTAAATTCTGCTTATCGACATCGCCCGGGAACTCTCCCCTCTAGTCATGGAAACATCTACTTTCTTGCGTTGTAATGTAAATTATTCATTTATTTATTAAATTATTATAGATCGGATTCAAATTGTGCTAGTTATGTTACTTCATAAGTTGGCAGATCACAGATTGAAGTCGGAGTCGTTCACAAAAACATTTTGCGTGACGGCCCGTGCACGAACCCAGGCCTCACGTGAAGCACTACAGCTCTATAATCACTTCTGCTTATAACCGAAGTCAGCCAAGATCTGTGTCATTATTTAACGTATGGCTGTCGCGTATCCCGTTGAAGAGGATAGCGTTGGTTATTCTTAACATTTTATAGAATGGAAATGCTCGTATAACTCTTAAAATTTGTTCATTGTTTTCTGTTGAAACAATTCGCTACTACAATGTTTGTGACCATATAACTAATTTCGAAAATACGACCGGTAAAGGTAGCTCAGGGTATCAACTGATGCCATTGCAGTGCACTGCCCAGGGCCCGGCAACTCTCCATCAAAATCGGGGACAAAGCTCGAGGTTGCTACTATAGGAATTGCTACTTATAGAAGCGCTGTGTCGCGAGTGCGCGAGCTGCAGGTTAGAAGTACTTGCCAACTTTTCCATCATACATGAATTGGCTAATTTTGTGACAAATATCGAAAGTGTCTTCTAGAGTGTACAATTATTCATAATATCAACTCTGTAAGAAACTTCTGAAGAAGATCCAGCTGAACGTATACGTATTATTTTTTTGTATATTTATGGTGTGTCCTGCTTGCTGAACCCGCAGAACTCTGCGCAGCAATGTTCAGGCCACGTGAAGAGTTTTTGTTGGCAGCCAGTTCCTGTTGTAAGTTCCTAGTAAAGTAAGGTGTGATTGCTTGCTAGAGCGCGCCATCACGTAATGGTCCCCAAACACTCTATTGTTTATTGGGAGGTTATCATGGAGTTTAGGGTTATATGAGTATGGGCCGCTGGCGACTGCCGCGAGAGATCCTTGGGTTCGAGAGCCCGTACGGGGTGGCAGGTATCTTCGGACACTAGCTGCAGCTAGGTCGGTGAGCCTAGAGCTTTTTCCTTGCGCGTGGCGGCGGTACTTACGCGTTGGTTGGGATGGTATTGTTGTACTTAGGTCTGTGGTAAAATCCTCAATCCTCAAAGTGTGTTGTTAGGGGTGAATGGTTGGAGAAGGAAAGGGAAGGAAAGGATTCGTGGGCCGCGTCCCATTAATAGGATACTTCCTTCGGCATCCCTGGTGTTTCGGATCGGAGAAACTCACTGAAAACTACCGATTCAGGCAGCAGGTAGCAATAGATATTTCTTGTCCCAGTCAGGCGCGCTAAACCTCGACCTAACGTATCTTGGCCTCCCGTTTTTGAGACACGCTGTAGTGACACTAGTTTATGCCGTTGAGTGGTCACCAAATCCGGACGTGAGATATTTTTATAATTTGGCACATGTAATTTATTATTGTTTATTGTTTGCTGCTTTTATTTTCTGTATTAAACAGCTACTTATAATATTTGTGGTGCCTTATACTGGAGGACTAAAAATTAAAATTTTCCAGTGACGCTGTGTGTGATTTATTGTACTTAATTTGAGGTTGATTATAAATAAATAGGTAAATGCATATATAATAATAATAAAATCAAATATATATAAAATAATTTTTAATTGAATGATATTCATTATACTTATATTTACCTTAGTGTTTTATTACTATCTATTAGTTACTATTTTATTGATATCTGTCTAATTATTATTATATACGGTTGTGCAGCCCGTTTCGCGATCGAGAATCCTGCAAGACACTCTGCCAATTTATCAACTTGCTGATTACTCAGAAAACGGCCAGCGAAAGATTTAATTCGTTCCGGGTCAGACCGAGCGTTGCATCGCCGAAAGGAATACTTCACTTTTGAGGACCGCCGATGCTGGTACCCGCAGGAAGTTGGCCTGCGCTTGCCGTTGCGTTCTCGCGTGTTTGCGCGGTCTGACACGTGACCGCGTTCAAGAATAGATTAATTTATGAAGAACATCTCAGAGGGATGGCTCTTTACGTAGAAGGTCCTGTTTCATCGGTCCTTCTCGCCTAGTCCGGCCTAATTTCGTTGCACAGGGCTGCCGACGTCTGCGCTATTGCCTCGTAAGTTTTCACAGAGCTCCACCCCTAGTCGCACTCTTGTGTAGA